CCCCCCCCCCCCCCCCCCAAATGAATTTTTTTGACATTTTCACCTTCATAGAAAGAAATTGTTTTTTTTACAAACAAACCTCTCGAGGGTAAAAGAGAGAGAAAAAATTCACTCTGGTGGTTTATCTGCAACAGTAGGACTAGAGAGGGTTTATTTGTAAAAAAACAATTTTACTTTTTTCCCCTGAGGTTAAAAAGAGTCAACAAGATTTCAGATAGACCCCATGTAATTATATTTTTGCAGATAAACTCCACGAGTGATTTTTTGGGACTATTTTACCCTCAAAGAAAGAGATTTTTTTATTTTATTTTTTGAAAAATAGACCTCCTGGGGTAAAAGAGTTAATAAATTCACTCAGGGGGTATATATCTGCCACAATAGAACCACAGAGGGCCAATCTGCAATTAACTCAAATTCATTAAAGGGTATGAATTTCTTACAGTTTTGCTTCGCTTTGAGTCTTCATCACTGTCATTGTCCTCATCAGCAGCTTTTCTAGAGAAAAACACCATATCTGAGTCAAATTACCGCGAACAGAATATAATTTTCAAATAACAGACTTGGGTGAATTTAAAAACTAACCTTCGCTTCGAGGCTCTATCGTCAACAGCTGCATCTGAGCCACCCAACTCAGGCACTTTGCTGACTATGTCCTTGAGAAAATCAAAGACATTGAAACTGTGGACACACTGCTTTCTATAAACAAGGGGGGCAAATTTTGAAATATGTCAAAATCCATAACATAAAAAATCTTAGCAAGTAAAATCTGAGGAACCAATGTCCCTTGGATATCAACGTTTCTAGATAACAAACTACAAAAAAAGAACGTTTTCAGGTTGTCTTTTTAAAGTTCAATAGGAAATCCGCCTTGTTTTTGAAGATCCAAAGGAAAAGAGGCAATAAACTACGCATATGCATCCCTCTTGGGGAATTAAGCATTAAAATGAGTCATTAGTTAAGATCACCCTTGGACTGCTATCATAAAGAACTCTTCATATTTCTAAATTAAGACCCCAAATCTATTAAGCTGTTGTAAATGATCCTACAAATCCATGAAGTTGCTTTAAGTAAGACCCTATTTTGAACAAATATGAGATTTGCGCATCTACTTTAGGACTATGAAGATTTGGGCGTCTAATATTGAATTAATAAATGTGTTGTGTGTGTGTGTTTTTTGTTGGGGGGGTGGGGGGGGGGGTTCT